ACTTTAATTTGGAGGTTTTTTTTTTCGTATTTAGATTTCTACTCAGCTTATTATTTATTTTCTTTATTTCGTTTTGTATTCTTGCTTGTTTACATATTAATTGTTTGGTATCCCTCGGATCTATGCTCGGACTTGATCACCCGTGGCTCTAGAATTGAGGGGTATCACACTTAGTTCCTAGTAGAAAAGACTATCATTGGTGCTCAATGGTTAAAAACCTCATCGGGTATGGGACCACCTTAGACACGGTGGACTCATTGATTGTAGAAACTTCACTGGACTTAGAGTTTTTCCTGGTGTGTAGAGACTTACCAGGCTATGGTTTTGGAGGATCGTGCGTTGGTCTTGGATGACTAATGCCCCAGAAGGGTCGCTGGGGGAGAGAGGCCAAAAACCCGGTTAGCTCGATATACCGAGGTTGGTACGTCAGTCTTCAAAACCTTATTATCATATGTAGATCGACAATTGATATCGAGTGATCTATTATTCTGCCCTCAATATGATGGTGGGATCTTGGGTGATGACCCATTCTATGGACGTTTATACAGCGGACGGGGTGCCTGGTGCCTAATTGCACGAACGAGCGGAGTAATGAGACTCTATTGCTAGAGATATCCTTAGTGGTAGAGGCTTTACTAGTAGGTAGAGACCCTTTTGTTGGTAGTGATCTCCTTGGTGGGTGGAGACCCACTCATTTATGTAGGCGCAAAAGGACTAGGTCTTAGTCTTCGACGATCAGGCCTTGGTATTTGGCTTCTGCCAGACAGGAGATAGAGTTTGGTCTTGGGCGACCAGACCTTAGTAGTGAGGGCACCGAGCACCGCTAGATGGAAGACACCACATTGGACTGGTGCCTGGGTCGACATGCCAACTTTTGACTATTGTCATTGTACATTGGGTGGCATCACGCAACCCTCTGTTTTGCCCCCAATATGATGGATGGGGAATCATGATATAAAGACCTGTCCTTATATAAGAATGAGGAAACTCATTGTTAACGGATGACTTTGTAATGGTTTCCATGATCAGAAATTTTCGTCTTACCATCCGAGCCAAGTCACGTCAGAATTATTATTTCTTTAGGAAACTAATCGTTCCCATAGACAGCACCAACTGTTGATGCGAAAATCCTTGCGACCCGGAACGGCGGCGTTTACCTATAAAACAAAGGGACGTCACCATGAATGGCACCGGTGGGATGCCCGCCGAGGACCCTTCGACGATTAAGTTAGTATTTATAATCATACCACGGAATAATTATATATTCAATGTTTAAGGGTTTCTTCTCATACCTGATTTAATGGCTCGATACCCTATTTATGGTTGCCGATTAGAATCAAGATCGTTCCGCACATGTCGATGGTTGAGATCTCCCTTATCATCAGTAATGGGATCTATTGAGGTGATGAAGTTGGTTGCGATATTGGGGTTTACCTTATCCTCTTCATTAGTTGAATAATAATATCTTCATATCCTCAAATTGGAGAGGAATGGCGGCGGATCAGCCCTAGAGTAACTTTTTTCCCCATCACATAATATACTCATAAATCATATACTATCGCAATATCATCCTTGCACACTGCACATCTTATAAGGACGACCACTCTATAATTTGAGTCCTCTGGTTTTTTTACTAGCATAATCTGAATTATGAATTTTTAAAAGTGTCGAGGTAGATAACTGATGATGGTGTAGAAAGAAGCAAAAATACAATATAATTGGACCCATCACTAGTTTTGATCTACCACCTTTGACGAGTCCAAGGCCTCCATGATTCAAGAACAAAATCTTGAAACTTGGTTGCGCGAGTGCAACCCTAATAGGTCACAAATTACACTAATTTCCCTTGAAATTTTGTCAAATTACACACAAATAGAACATTTAACCTTTATTATTTTGATGTCCCTTGAGATTTGGTGCTTGTGTTCAATGACACCCTTGTCATTAAAGAAAATTTAAAAAATGACTAAATTTTCCTTTCATTATATTTATGGTTAATTTCACTGACACCTCCTTCAGTTTTGGCCAAATATCACATTGAAATACCTTTTGAAAATTATTATCACTTAAGTCCAATTTTACTTTTCCATCACTGACGCCGTTAAAATTGTATGAAAAAACTATTTTGCCCATAATTTTCTAATACCATTTATTCCAAAATATCAGCTAACTAAAATGACTAATTTACCCCTTATTTATTACTCCTAATTTAGTCAAACCATGTATGACTAACTACTTTATATAAGGGGTAAAATCACATAACTTCTCCTACTTTTATTTTTGTAAACCCCACTACAATTAAACATGAATTACAAAACCGTTATCACATTGCCCAATTTTCGTCCAAGTCCGCTAAGTTAGTGTGACTTGACAAATTTAACCTTATTGTATAATGTAAAATTTAAAAATGTATTAATTGTTATAGAACAAATTACAATTGTAACCTTAGGGTCATTCAACTTATTGACAAGGCAACAAAACGAAGCATCCACCTATTTTAAGAAGATGAGTCGGGTCAAAGCATGGTCCTGTTCGGACATGCGGAAGGGTCTCAGGTGGTTCGACCCTGTTGGCTTCGGAGGAATGGTCGGTGCCGCCATCTTTGTCACCATCGGGCGCTATAGCCGCCACCACGCCGGCCCTGTCGTCGTGTTATCTTACGTCATTGCCAGGCTCTACATTCTCTTTTCCCTCTTCTGCCATCGAATTTGTCGTCGAAATTCCGTCGCCGGCGACGCCTTCAGCTAAATCATAATAATCACTTTTGGTTTGCATCAAATTTACACTTCAAAACCCATCTACAAATATACACATACATGTATATAAAATGTTTCTCTAATGTTATTTACTTTGATTTGATGTAAATTTGCAAGGGTGAATTTGCGACAATTCTAATCGGAGTGACCACTAACGCAAGCAAAGATATCATTACTAGATTGAACTGAGTTTTGAGCAGGTGTAAAGCAAGTAATCAAAGCCTAAAATTAAGGGAAAATGCTCATAAACTGAACTTCCACGTTTCATGGTTCTAGTAAATTCCCAACAAGCATAGAACCCTTTATACCAAATATGTTGAGAGTGAGGATTAAAACGACGATTCGTTAAAATTTATATACATTGGCAGGCGACAAGATGGTTGTGGGTGTCACTCATTAGACGCTGATGTGGTACGTTGACAAGTCAATACAACCCTAGTTAAATCCTACTTGGCAAGTTGAAAAGTCAAAGGCCTCGAAGGATTAAATCTCGAGCACTCTAAGCCCTGGCATCACTCCAAGCCCTCAAGCCTCGAAAGATCAAATCTCAAGCACTCTAAGCCCTGGCATCGCTCCAGGCCCCCAAGTCTCGAAAGATCAAATTTCGAGCACTTTAAGCCCTGGCATCGCTCCAGGCCTTCAAGCCTCGAAAGATCAAATCTTGAGCACTCTAAGCCTTGGCATCGCTTCAGGCCCTCAAGCCTCGAAAGATCAAATCTCGAGCACTTTAAGCCCTGGCATCGCTCCAAGCCCTCAAGCCTCGAAAGATCAAATCTCGAGCACTTTAAGCCTTAGCATTGCTCCAGGCCCATCAAGCCTTGAAACATCAAATCTCGAGCACTCTAAGCCCTGGCATCGCTCCAGGCCATCAAGCCTCGAAAGATCAAATCTCGAGCACTTTAAGCCCTGGCATTGCTCCAAGCCCATCAAGCCTCGAAAGATCAAATCTCGAGCACTTTGAGCCCTAGCATCGCTCCAGGCCCATCAAGCCTCGAAAGATCAAATTTCGAGCACTCTAAGCCCTGGCATTGCTCCAGGCCCAATAAGCCTCGAGAAGCTGATCCTCGAGCATTCTAAGCCCTGGCACCACACCAGGCCCATCGAGTCTCGAGAGACCGACTCTCGAATATCCCGAATCCTGGTGTTATGCCAAACGATGCTGTTTTGAAAGATTAGGGCTCCTTAGCACGAGATGAAGGTAGGATCTTCGTGTTATAGGAATCCATGTTTGGGAAACTTAGGAGGATCTTGGATTGGTGGACGAGAAGTTAAGAAGTGCCTTCGTTCTCGGCAAGGCCCAATTAACAAGATGATGGGATTATACATGTTGTGACAGCAAACCTTAAAATCACAATTAATGCTATGTCAGGCTTGACCAACCGACGGCCAAACAACATTTAATGCCCCTGATTAGGGGAGAAGTGACATGACAACATGGGACAAGGCTCGAGGAAAGGATTAGACCCTTCAGACCCCTAAATCTTCAGAATTACTCACGTAATTTGGATTGGGGGTGATGCATGCGGAAAAAAACCATGCATAGAAAGGACCATTGGATAATAACCAATGAAATCTAGATCTATAAATGGCACTGTCCTATGAAGAAAGAACCAACCTCCCGAAAGGAAGAAAAGCTGTCATGAAATACTGTATACTCGCCCTACCACCATCTTGATCTTGATAGTTGGTCTTCTTCTCCTCCTCCTACACTGAGCATCTCCTCTGTTTTCCTTCATATTTGTATTCCTGATATTTATATTTTATTGCTATTTTATTACCTTGTAAAAAAGAACCCCTACATTTTGGCGACTCCACTGGGGATATCAGTATAAGCAGATAGAATCACAGTATATGCCAACTCACCATTCGGAACCCTCTGTTGGAGGAGGTGGTGACGTTCCTCTTCACTCCCAGGCATCGTCACGTGCTTCCAATGTTCGTGCACCACATATCACAATGCTAGAAAGCTCAGCAGCCCCTTCCGTTCATGAGGAGTTATTGCAGTCCAACCGTGATCTCATCGGCCGCCTTGATAGGTTGGAAGCCTTGATCATGCAGAGTGCATGAGCCATAACTATTTCTCCCACTAGAGTTGCCCTTTCCGAGCATGATCAGCCAGGTAGTTCATCTACTCACGTGCCACCACTATGGTATCCACCGATGTAAGCCCAAGCAGCCTCAAAGCCCACCCCAGTTCAAGCGGTTCCACCGGCTAACCCTTCCCCGGAATATGTCACTGAGTCCATGCTACGTGATTTTTTCATGAAGCATGCCCCATCGGCTGCACGTGCGTTAGTTTTGCTTACGGAGCCTCCGTACCCAAAAAGCCTGGCTCAGACGCCGTACCCACAGGGGTACATCATCCCAAAATTTCCTAAATACAACGGCGTCAAAGAGGATGCCGATGAGCACTTGCAAAGATTCGTGGAATATCTAGGCCAACATAGCCATGACGAAATCTTACGCCTTCGAGAATTCTCCAAGTCTCTCATCGGGCTCGCGTACAGATGGTTTCGAAGTCTCGAGCCAGACTCAATCACCACTTGGCAACAACTCTCCCAAAAGTTCCACAACAAGTTTGGACAAGCCATTGAAAGGGTCACCACTCTCTCCATCACTAAAGAAACGCAAGAATCCAACGAGGAACCCCTCAAGTTCATTTCTCGCTTCCCAACCTGTGCAAGGGAATGCTTCGAGGGTAGCAGTGAAAGGGATCTGGTTAATATTTGCATACAAGGCATGACCAAGACCTACAGGATACACTTGGTCAATCTGGGTCTCAACAGCTTCAGCGATCTCACCACAGCTGTACGGAACATTTGTAAAGATCTCGCACCTCCCAGGGCAGAGGTCACTCACAAAGACACGCCGGTTGCTCCTCGCAATAATAGAACGAAAAAGCGTCGCAAGACAGATGTTAGAGCCAAGGGATCTCGAGCTAAGCGAACAAATAATCCTCCCCCATTCCTGGTATGCATGGAAGAAGTCGCCAGTACTCTCGAACAGTGGGTCAAGCATGGTGTAGTCGTGTTACCTGTTCCTCACAAAGAGCCAACCGCGCAGGATAGTGCGAGTCCAAATTTCGGTATCTTCCACCAAGCCACTACACATCCAACAAGTACCTGCAGGACTCTAAGGCGAATTTTTCAACAACGGCTCGAGGGTGGTGATCTTGAGTTGACCGTGCCAAAGGATGTGCGGCACAATCCATACCCTCGTCATCGCGGTGTGGCTGTGGTCACGTATTATGATGAGTTAGAAGAAACCAATTCCACGCAATCCAAGGTTCAAGTGCAATACGGTGAGGAAGAATGCTGCGCAGCCGCTTCGTCAAGTCATCCCCCCTCTCACCAGGCGCTATTGACCATTTCCTTCTCCGAATCTGACAAAAGTGTCTCTACCCCTCATAATCGTCCATTCTATATCACTGTGCAGCTCAATGGTAGGGAGTTCCGACATGCTTTTCTAGAGAACGGGTCTTCCATTAACATCATGCCATGGGCCACATTTCAGAAAGCTGGTTTGCCCCAAGACTGCCTTGTTAAAGAGGCCATCGAAGTTTATGGTTTCGGCAATGAATCTTACCAGACTCTCGGCTATGTAAATGTTGATCTCGTGGTTAGTAGATTTCGAGCTCCCACCAAATTCCATGTTATCAAGGCTGATACATCCTACCATGTGCTCTTCAGGCGGGCGTGGATACACCGTTTCGGCATAGTGGCTTCTACTTACCATCAATGTTTCAAGGGCATCTTAGGTAACAAAGTCGTCATGGTTCCGTGCTCTGATAAGCCTTTTGCCAAGCACAAGGCACACTTTATTGAGGCTCTCTTCTTTGATGAGTTGGATGATGAGGATGAAGAAGCAGAGGCGCATATAATTCGTACTCCGCTACCCAAATGGGAGGAGGTACAGCAGGGCATCTTTTACCCTACACAGTCATATGTTCCTCATCGCGACGCAGAAGTCGCTACCCCGCGGGTGTGCAAACGAGTGAGGCTACCGGATGAGCGATATGTCTATAGCTTATGACGGTGTGCGGGCTCTGCCTTGGTGAACCCAGTTGTTGAGCCTACGAGTGTAGAGGATGAGCCACTGCAACTGTCGGATCTCAAGGAAGTTAATCTCACCCCTGCAGGATGAGAATCACGGACAACCTTCATCTCCTCACAACTGGACCCATCGTTGCTAGATGGCCTTATTTGCCTCTTGAAGGAATTCTCGAACATCTTCGTATGGACTTATAGCGAGATGCCAGGACTAGACCCCCAACTTGTGACACATCATCTCAGTACCATCCCAGGCTCGCGCCCTGTCAAACAAGCACCTCGCGTCTATAGACCTGAGCTCGAGCTTCAGATTAAGACAGAGGTCGAAAACTTGCTCTTTGTAGGATTCATTAGGCCAATCTTACATCCAACTTGGCTCACAAATATTGTTCCTGTGAAGAAAAAGAACGGACAAATTTGGATCTGCGTCGATTTTCTCGATCTCAATAAGGCATGCCCGAAGGATGATTTCCCTCTTCCTATCATTGACACGCTGGTTGATGCAACAGTCAGGCATTCACTTTTCTCCTTCATGGATGGGTACAGCGGCTACAATCAGATACGGATGGCCGAGGGAGATGCCCACAAGATTGCGTTCCGGACACCACTTGGCAATTTCTACTACACTATCATGCCCTTCGGGTTAAAAAATGCTGGAGCCACATATCAAAGAGCCATGACTGCCATCTTTCCCGATATATTGCGTCACATGGTGGAAGACTATGTTGATGACTTGGTGGTGAAATCCAAACAGCGAGAGGATCATCTCCACGATTTGCGTCGCGTTTTTTAGCGATGCCATATGTACAATCCACGCATGAATCCCCTTAAGTGCGCGTTTGGGGTACGTCACGGTAATTTTTTGGGCTTTTCGGTGCATCGCCAAGAGATCGACCTCGACCCCACCAAAGCTCGTGCAATTATAGATATGCCCCGCCCTTGCTCCTTCAAACAACTCAAAAGTTTTCTGGCCAAAGTTTCGTATTTACGAAGGTTCATACCAGCTCTCGTTGAAGTTTTTTTTATCCTTTTAGCACTTTGATCAAAGGCAATGCCAAATTCCTTTGGACAGCGGCTCGTCAAGCAGCCTTTGAGAAGATCAAGGCCATTCTTGCCTCCTCGACCACCATGCACCCACCTGTTAGGGAGCAGCTTTTGCTTCTCTATCTCACTTCAACTGACAAGTCTATTGGGGCCCTTCTCGCGCAAACAGTCGAAGGGGAAGAACAACCAGTTTATTATCTCAGTCGCCTTGTACGCGAGGCTGAGGCTCGCTATTCAGCCATCGAGCGTCACTGCCTCGCCCTTGTTTTTGCTGCACAGAAGTTTAGACATTATTTCATGGCTCATCGCGTCCATTTATTACAAAGTGTGACCTATATCGACACCTCCTTTCTAAGCCAATCATCTCAGGGAAAGCGTCGCGATGGCTTTTAGCTCTCTCGGAGTTTGACATTACCTGTTATGCACCGTAGGGTAATAAGAGCCAAGCTTTAGCAAATTTGCTCGCGTAGTTCCCCGAGCAGAGGTATGAGCCCTTTGACAAAGCATTGCCCCTTGATGAGCTCCAGTGGCTGCCATTGAAGACAGTCACGGCGAATGGAAACTAGCTTTTGATGGGTCTTCCACTAGCACGGGTGGAGGGGCAGACATTGTTCTCACCTCGCCAACTCAGCAGGTCACTACGGCTTTCAAACTGGCCTTTCGTTGTTCTAACAATGAAGCTGAGTATGAAGCACTCATTCTTGGCCTCATCGCAGCCCTCGACAAAGGCATCTCGCGATTATACGTGTACGGGGATTCCAAGTTAGTTGTTAAACAGGTAACGGGTGAGTATGCTATACTCGAGCCTTCGCTCGCATGTTATCGTACCATTATTCAAAAGCTCCTCGCCAGATTCTCCTCCGTTCGTTTCTTGCATGCGCCTCGTTCCAATAACAGGTACCCAGATGCACTCGCAACGTTAGCTTCGAAGCTGACCATTACAGATGACATGACTGAGATCCGCATCACAAAACACATTGGTCCAGTTACCATCGCTGAGCTTTTCTCGGCCCAAACTGTTCCAGACATTGATTGGCGAGCCCCAATCATTAGTCAGCTCAAACAACGGACAGGGTCACTACCTCTCACACAATTGAAATCATTCCAGCTCTTACAGGGACTGCTCTACTTCCGCCTGCCATACGGAACGTTAGCTAGATGTTTGGTCCCTCGCGATGCTGAAGCAGCTCTCATAGCAACTCATGAGTAGCACTGTGCTACACCTTTGGCGTTGTACCAGCGACTCCAGCATCAGGGTTATTTTTGGCCAGATATGACAGCTCAGGCCAATACCTTACAGCACACTTGCCCGCGATGTCAGGCTGTAATGGATGAGACCGAATCTTCTATTCTCGAGATGGTTGATTGGCGTCGCCCGTTCATTGATTTTCTTACGCATGGTACCCTTCCAGACGATAAACAAGCTGCTGCAAAGCTAAAGAGGAAGTCCGCACGATTCGAGATTCGGGAAGGTGAACTCTTTCGTCGAACCCTTAATGGTACGTATCCGTGATGTTTGTCTCGCAATGACGCCATGGAAGCTCTCAAGGAGGCTCACCAGTTAGAGTATCAAGGCTCACGCAAGCTTTTCGCATATTTGTTACAAAAGGGAATTTATTGGCCTACTATGGAGCGCGATGCCAAGTCTCATGTATAAAAATGTCAACCTTGTCAACATCATCATCATCAGATCCATACGTTGGCTGCACCCCTTCACCCTATTGAAGTCCTTGGCCATTTCACACATGGGGGCTGGACCTTATCGGGCCAATCCATCCACCGGTGCGAGGTCACATGTGGATTCTTGTTGCAACAGAGTACTTCACTAAATGGATTGAGGCGATCCCCCTCAAGCATGCCACCAGTGGGGCCGTCGCGACTTTCATACAAGAGAATATCATTTGCCGCTTCGGAATCCCTCAATGCCTTCTCAATGACAATAGTACTCCTTTCATTAATCATAGAGTCAAGCGATTGCTTAGGCAGTACAATGTCCAGCATAAGCGTTCCTCGCCATATTACCCGTAAGGTAATGGCCAAGCAGAGGCTTCAAACAAGAATCTCATTCGAATCTTAAGTCGAACGCTCGAAGAAAAGCCTAGCACATGGGTAGAGCAATTGCCTCTAGCACTATGGGCTTATCGCACTTCCGCCAAACGCTCCACCGGTCAAACTCTGTTCTCTCTCGTCTATGCAATGGAGGCTGTTTTGCCCATTGATATTGCAGTCCCTGCGGCGTAGCTCGCCTCGCGAAGCAGGGTTCCTATGTCTCGAGATAATGAGTTGGAAGCCCTCGATGAATGGCGCGAGGCAGCCCTGCAGCACCTTCAGCAGTACCAGCACAACATCGCGCGAGCATATAACAAGCATGTCCAACCTCGACAGTTCAAGCCAGGCCAGCTCGTTCTTAAAGCTGCTCCACATATTATGCGCGGTCTCTCAACTCCCAAGTTCTCACCTAATTGGGAGAGCCCCTATATTGTCAAAACCTCTAGCGATAGTGGATATTGCATGCTCGAGGGCTCTGATCATAACCCCATTAATAATGTCTGGCTCAAGCCTTACTTTTGTTAAACTTGGCTATCCTGAATGAAAGTTACTCGTTTTATACAGTTTGGTGCATGACCCGAGTTCTTAAAAAAAAAAAAAACCAAGAGTGGAATAATCACAAATTTTGCATTCAAGGTTGTTCGATTACAATTGTGGAGTCCTTGACTCATGTTTATATCAATAATCAAAAGAGCAACCTATAAGTCTAATCCACATATGACGACAGCAGCAAGTAATCATCATCGAGCTCTCGCGAGTACGCTGTCAATACTACCAAGCTTTCTCGCTCTTGTGCGAGCTCCCCCTCCAATCTGTCCATACGGGCTCGTACTTCTTGAAGGCATGGAGCGAGCAGTCGCTGCTGCAAACACTTCTCAGCCACATATAATCGTTTTCGCAGCCATGAAACCGGAACTTCGAGCCTCTGAACATCATCCAATAGGAGTGTAGCCTCCTTGATGAGGTTTTCATTGGTCGCGCCCTGCTCAATTTCTGCAAAAACCTCCAAAATTTTGCCAAGGCATAGGTACATTGATTGCCGCACATATGCATGGCGCGATGATAGATTTTACGACACCTCGGGATGATGTGCAAGGGCTGCCTCGAGGAGTTGTATATAGGCACGAGGGAATGGCATACCCATCCACCCCACCTCTGCGCTAGCAGCTTGTGGCCCTGCGCCACTCACAGTAAGTTGCTCAGCCCCCAAGGTTAGCTCGCCAAGAGAGCGAGGAGTCTGTTCTGCTGTAGTTTGCTTAACTGTGGGAACTGTGGACTGCCTTGCTAGGGTAGCCATGGCATTCACCACAGTGGTATCTGCTTGTGGCACCAGGAGGACGAGTGAAGGGTGCAACTCCATCAAAGGAGAAGATTGAACTATCTCCTCTTGCAACGTTTCCTCGCTTACCAGAGAGGCATGTTCTATCTCCTGTGTTTCTAAAAACGAGACTTGGGGGTCTTGATCAGAGGCCTCGCCCATTTCGGAGAAGGCGTGCTCTCCCATATGTTCCTCTCTCGGTTATGAGGGCTCTCGCATTTCCATGGGCGAGCTCGAAATTGTATCTGTATTATCTCGCCGGGCCACCTCTACATTTTCGCCCCTGGGTGACCCAGCTGCAGCATCACCTAAACGATTTGTCACCTCAAGGTTTAGGGATTCTGACCCATTCTCAGCTCTCATTTGGGCATCATCTTGAGACATATCTTCCCCCTCTCAAAGAAGTACTATGTCCTCGGCAATGTCAGCGCTCGCTTGAGGTGGCGCTGTAGCACTTACATACCCTCGCATCATCTCTGCCACCTCAGCGGCATGCGTACGCACAGGTACATCTCGAACAGTGATGAGAGGCGAGACATCTAGCGCTAGCTCCTCCATTTTTTCCTCTCTCACCCTCGCTGAAGTGTCCTCTTGACCATAACAATACAAGGCACTCTCACCTAAAGCTTTCATAAAGTTAAAAGTAGGTAAATTTGGAAATTCATTGTCAGAAGCTAGTACCTCGCCTAAGCTTATATCCTGGACAGTGGTGTCAATTCCACATTCTCGCACCTAGTGAAGCCTGCACGACCCCCATTGCCTTGGCCCAAAAGCTGCAGCCATTGAGCTATGCTCTCCAACGAGAGGCTGTTCGCCATCATCTTCAGAAGTGGTTGTATCCTCACTCTCAATTGGTTTATCCACGAGTGGGATTCTGCTTGCAGAGGCTATGGGTCGAGATGTACTTGGCGCTGGAGGCCTTATCCTTTCTTCCCTCACGTTGGCAATGGCCGGCTCTGCAACACTTACAGCTGCTCATTTGCTGGGGGGGCAAGGTTTGGGCGTGAAGTGGCCTTTGTCTTGCGCCTAAGGACAGGCGTTGGGGCTGCCTCGATGACAGGATTAGCGGTCGCCGCGACAGGTTGCGAGGTTTCCCCTTATTGTGTTGCGGTAGGTACAAGATCAGGCGTGAAGCTACAGAGGTCCCCCCTGTCAAATTTAATTGGAGGCATCAATGAATGGTCCCCCGAATAGATCACCAATGCCTTCGCATGATGGGTAGGACTTTGATAAAAATATTTCCAGCTCGCTAGTTTTATTGCCCATAGCGAGCGAGCCATCTCTATACATCTCGGGACCCTGCCCCTTCCTGGCAGGAAGACAGCGCCAATTCCTTTGCAGAGTAGCCCAATGTGAGCCGCTACAAACCTCGCTAAGCTACTCTCGTAAGAGTCCTCGCCCTCCACAAAGATGTATTGCGAGGGTACCCCCTATCGTAGCCAAATTGTAAAGGGACTCTGTGAGGGTTGTATGTCTTTGCTATTTGGCCCCTTTCCCATATCCCGGGCAAGTAGCCAGGGGTGCTCATCAACGAGAACACTAACACTTCGCTCGCGTTCAAGTGATGAGCACCCGCTGGAATGTGCTCATTATCATCAAAATACATGGGTAGAGTTTTAGCCCCAGGCAGGTCCACTGCATAAGGGCGACTAATGAATTGGAAGCTTTGGTCTAAGGCATATCCTAGTCGTCCTCGCGGTAACCGACCATGCCATCTCATGCCTCGCACCACCTCTTCGTCCACAGCCAAGTCTGCTGGGATGGGAGCATACGATTGGAACCTTTCGTACAGGAACATTTGTAGAAACATGGTAGACGCGTACGAGCAATGGACATAGCGCCCTACAGACCGTCCCATGTCTTCCCACACCATATCGAGAAGGTGGTACAATGTTCCCAAGAAGAGAGGTGCGAGGGCCACTTTCACACCACTCGCCAGCTTCACTGCCAGATCCACAAGTCGTGGCTGTGGAGCATCCTCTGGAGTCCCCTCGAAAAATATCTTGATAGCCAACATAGTAAGTAGGCCACGAGATTGGAAGAATGATCAGCCCAGGGACCTGGAATCCCTTTTCTTCCCTCCTCTGAGAGATTCTTCTTTGTCATTGGGAAGTCCTTAAAATAGTATCGCACCAACGCCGCAAGAGTGGCCTTGCGTGTACCCTTGCCTCGCTCAGCATGGTGAACACCCTGTGCGCCCCACAACGACCTAAAATCTTTGGTTTTCTCCAGAGCCGTCTCGAGATCATGAGCCAAAGTCTCTTCAGCTTGCACAAACTCCCAAGAGCCAGGATTCTCTACCCCTTGAAAAGGTAGACCCAGCAACTGGCTCACATCCTCAATAGTGGGAGTGAACTCTCCCGATGAAGTAATGAAAGTGTGCGAACTTGAGCTCCATCGCGAAGTTAGTTCCCATAAACCTGTAGTGTCGCGAAGAATGTGTATTTGGCAAAACAGCTTAATACACGGTGTCAAGCTTGCTGCATCCAAGATTTCCTCGTACTCCGGGTTTACAAGGATCGCGTCCGTCTATTTTTCCCAACTATGGGACGGACTAATGTGATTATTGAAGTTCACATAGGACCATGGATATTGCCCTTGCTCGACCCCAAATCGTAAGATCGTATCCCCAGGGATGCGAGGAGCCATGTTCATTTCAACTTCCTCCTCCATCAATTCAACCACTTCAAGCGGTTCGCCGGCGACCACTGCCTTGCTCGCCCGGTGCCAAAACAGGTCATTTTTTCCAAAAAATGGTGCCCGTCGCCATTCCGAATCTGCTGGCACCTTTGGTAGAGGGCAATCCTTTTTGCATAACTCGTATTTCTTGCTAACCATGGTTGCAGTCCCTTCCACTAAGAACAACAGTAAACCAAAGAACTTTAAACTTTTGTGAGACCTCTTCTCCAGCAATGATGGAAGTTCAGGTAATCTCAGTACTTTCTAAGTTCTTTTCACTTTACTCCATCACTGTTCCCTTTTAATAGCCCTCTTACCTCAGGAACCCCCAAAAATCAAATCGGCAACTGTGATACCCCCAGATTTCTGGATGCGGGTTGGCCAGGCCCACGCCCGATTACCCGAGGATATCAAAATAATTAGCAATAATCGAACACAGAATAATTATATCAAAAGAGATAAATAAAATTTGCTAAAATGAAAACTAAAAGAGTAACCCAATATTTGAAAACCTCAGAAAAATAACTCCATTGATAAATAAGATATTTCAGATACAACTGATTCACCACGAACGCATATCGTTCTCCAATACAACTCGGGAATCCATCTAGTGGACCCCTAAAATAACCCACTGAACTTAAAAGACGGGAAACAAAACCCAAGTCTACACACAAAATATACTTCTATGTCATCGGTGGAGTGAACAACTATATCTGCTCAGCACGATCAAGCTCTGCAGCCTGGAACTAACGAACACCTGTAAAGAATAATAGAAGAGTGGGTCAGGCCCACGAGCAAGTTCTAATCTAACTGCAATCCATACAGTGACCCGATACGCAGATACACTGTAGATACCTAACAATATCTTTCTAGTCCATACATATATATATCCACACTATGGGACATTCACTGAACTACAATAGGGGTCTCAACCTGAATAGAAGGTAACATGTGAAAACGCACCCAAAGGTGGGCATGAATACCTAGACCTAACAGGGTACACCTCAAACTACTATAGCTAGCTACGCATCCACTGCATATACGCGTCCTAACCAACGAGTTTGAGACTCAAGCTCATCTCGTGGTACCATAACCATATATTTAAAGTCCATTCAAATCCATCCATAGGAACTTCAATAAATCGTTCAGCTTATTCAGCTGCACAGACTTATAAAAGGAATCCAATAAGTCATTC